ACACACACACACACACACACACACACACACACACACACACACACGAGCTCCCAGTGACTTGAGCACTTTCAATAAAACAACAAACAACAGAAAAGTCCAGAAAGAGCAATTCCATTAGTACTAGCTTTGAATCAAACTTTGTGCCTAAGTGTGTCTAACCGTGTCCATTAAAGCGTCTCTCAGTTCGGGTCTTATTAGAGCCATCCAGTGAGCCGTTCTAGAAACTGCAGGGTCCTGTACACTCACACAGAGAAATAAAAAATCAAAGGTGCAAGCAACAAAAGTCATGCTGATTCAGCTGTGTTGAATCTACAAGCAACCCGACACGCAGCGAGCAGCTCAGTTTATCTTTGGCGATGGAAAAGCAGAGAGTGCACTGACCTCATGATGGCGATCTGTTGCTAAGCTGCTGTGAAAAGCTGGGTAGGGCTGAGTGGCTCACGCTCTCAGTCTGCTGCAGGTGGACACTCAGGACTATATAAAGGGGCGGTGGATGCAGAAATGCATCAGGAGATGCCCTCCTGTTTCTAAGGCACGGCCTTTGTGAAAAGGAAGAAGAAACTGGAAAGTGAAACTGACTTAAACTCAGCCAAAAGAGGAAAAGGAAACTGAATGCCGAGGATCTTCTATGACCCCAGCCATGAAGCTTTGTGTGAGTTCTTGACTCCATGCCTGCTCTGCCCGAGGGTGAGAGGCGTTTCCCGGGGCCTCCCCCCATGGGGGGAGTGGGGGGGGCATTTTCAACAAAGTCTGTCAGGCACTCTGACAGCGCCTTCTGGAGCCACACGGAAGACAAACTATCCTAAAATATTTTGAAAGAAATATTTACCTTTTAACTTCTCTTGTGGGAGACAGTTTTTATCCTGGTTTTAGTTCTCTAAGTTCATGTCATTGGCTCTGGAGTTTTCCCAGACGATAACTAAAGTTTTCACTTTATACCACACTGAATTCAAGTAGCAAAACTCTAGGGGAATCTCCATGCTATTTAGCTCCTGGAGGTCTGTGATGATCATTTACTTTATACACAGTTCTAGAATGAAACTATTAATATGTGAATAATTGCTTAATGAGTAGGAGGACAGATACATGATTAATTCTGATAGTTCTGCTTTGAATTATGAAGTAATGTTGATGCAGAGAATAAAGTAGAGATGGCCAATTATTGGATACTGATTTGCTGATTTACTTAATGAGTTACTTAAGGCGCTGTTTTTTACTGACTGTTTGCTAAACATGACGTCACTGGCTACCAGGAACAGGACGAACCGAAGAAATAGCTGAAACAGTGGCTCGTTGCCTTTAACAACTTGCCACAAATGCTCTGTAAAATCTCACTTGCTTGTCTGCCCCACCTTGTATTTTTAGAGTATAAAATGAGAATGAAAACTGGACCCAAGGTTTTTCAGCTGTCCTAACAGTGGCCCACTGGTCCATGCTTTCTCCCTTCCACTCTCGTTGGAAGCACTTATTCCAGGAAGATGTCCACAACGTCATCATAGAGATTTGTAAAGGCTTGATAACACTCTCCCGCCGTGATGTAAATGTCCATAAAAACTCCTAGAGTGCGGCTAGCCTGGCTTGTTTGATGATAAATGAATTGTTAGTTAGGAGAACGGTTCTTTCCAGCCCAAAGCAGCATAAAGCAGTGACTCTGCTAGCAAAGCTAAGCTTGACACACAGTGTTTCCAAAAACAGGCCCATAAGATTGTTCAAATTCAGAGATTGTTGCTATGTACCAGGAAGACGGTGTGAACTTAGACTGTTGTGAAATTCTGATTGGTTGTTTTACTTAGCAATTTGCTACTATTAATGGCATAAGGGATTAAGTACACACCTGTTTGAGCCACTTTATTTGTCTTTAGACCATGTTTTAGGATGATTCATTTAGCAAAACCACAAAAAGTATAAAAGTTTAGGAGATCTCATTTGGTTCTGTAATTAACAACTCAATGCCTGATTTTAACTAGTGGGACTTGAAACCCTAAAACACCAGCCCAAGAAGGATGTGCCTGCATCCTTTTCCTTCTTTGCTCTGATTAATAGGAAATTGTATGTTGACCATTTGCATGTTGTAAGCATGTTGATTTTTAAAGATGTTGCTTAGGAGTGCAGAAAAGGTCTGAGAAACCCGAGCCATTAAATCAGACAAAGGGCGCGTTGGCCCAGCTGTTTCTTTCCTCTTTCAGAATACAGGAAGTTTCGATGGACTGGATGACTGATTGGTTTATTGTTTGGTTGACTGATTTCTCTCTCTCCTCTGTTGCTTTCACTCTCTGCTTTGTGTGTGTATCTGTTTGTGTGTGTGTGTGTGTGTGTATGCACATGTGTAAACCCATGCATAGAGGCCAGAAGAGGACATTATATCCCTTGCAGCTGGAGTTACAGGTGGTTGGGTTGCTCAGCTTGGGTATTGGGAACTAAACTCAGGTCCACCGTAAGAGCAGCAAGTCCTCTTGGCTGCTGAGACATCTCCCCCCACCCCACAGAGAATCTAACAGAACAAATATTGTCTACGACCGTAAGATGCATTCTGCATATTCTTAATTCTCTACTTCCTAGCTCAGGAAGTACACTGTGTTTTGCTCTGTTTTAGTAACAATTGCATGTGCTAGCCAGATAACATTATTTGACATTAATAAATTTTCCATTAGTGGAAAATGAAATTTATTGTAATAAAATAAAATTTAAAAGTCTCCCCTTGCGAGACAATATATAAAAGTGAAAAGTTCACTTCAAACTAATAGAAACACTTAAAAGCGAAGGCATCTGTGAGAACTCGGCCTTTCTGAGAATATTGCCTCTGCTTAGCATCCACTCAGCCCTCAGGTAATTCACATTACAGCTCACTTCTGTGTGTACAAGAGAAGATGAGTCATGGGGTACATAATTGCATGTTAGGCACTTTCACCACATCCTCAGTCCTGACAAAGAAGGTGCATCTCTTGAACATTAAGCTATACATGCAATTTCAAGCACTTGGCCTTGCTTCGGAGATGGTTTTGGTCAATTGAGGAGGCCAACAAATTACCTGTCTTATGCAGATAAATGAAGTAACAGGAGGTTATAATGGTTTATCTTGCTCAATCAAGCACCCGAAGGGCATGAGTCCTCCTCCCCTTGATATTGTTTTCTGAGTTAAATATTAACAAAGGAAAATAGCCTTTTCATGGTTGGGCCCCTTGGCAGTCTATGCACAAAGTCACTGCGTGAAGTCATGAGCCAAAGATAACCTCTAGATAATCTTCATGAGAGCAGGAACAAAGCTATGATTCCCAGCCTTGGGGAAGGTCATTCTAGCCAAAGGTCGTTAAACCGACAGGTTGAAGAGTTAGCTGTCTGTGCTCTCAGGTTCACGGTAACATTATTCAAAATAGTCTGGATATGGAAACAACTGGAATGTCCATCAATGTATGACTAGATAAAGAAAATATGGTGTGAATACAATATATATGGGCGAGCACATACACAATGGAATGCACAGGTACATACAGTGATGTACACACACCATGGACATACACAATGGAACACGCACACTCACCAACACATGCACGCACACGCTGGAATACTACCACCCTGTCTTTAAAAGGGGGAGATTCTGACATTTTCAGCAACATGAATGGGTCCGGAGGATGTTAAAGAAAGCGGAACAGTGTGGAGACAGAAAAAATATCAAAGGATTTCGTGTATATGTGGAATCCGAAAATGAACTCAGGAAGCCGAGTCTTGGATCACTGTAACCAGGCTGTGATGGAGTTAGGAACTGGGGAGTCATGAGCCAGGGAATACAAATTTTAGTTTTTATTCTTTTTTATTTAAATGAACTATCTTTTTATTTATTATTTATTACAATTTATTCAGATTGTATCACTTTTTGCCCCCTCCCTCCCAACCCCACCTTTCCTCTCTCTTTTCCCCCTATGCCTCTCCCCTGGTCCACCGATAGGGAAGGTCCTCCTCCCCTTCCATCTGACCCTAGCCTATCAGGTCTCATCAAGACTGGCTTCATTTTCTTCCTCTGTGGCCTGGCAAAGCTGCACCCCCCGAGGGAGGTGATCAAAGAGCCAGCCACTGAGTTCATGCCAGAGACAGCCCCTGTGTCCCTTACTAGGGAACCCATTTGGACACTGAGCCTATGGGCTACATCTGAACAGGGGTTTTAGCTCCTCTCCATGCAAAGTCCTTGGTTGGGATATCAGTCTCTGCAGGGTCCCCAAGGCCCAGTTTTTGTTTGTTTGTTTGTTTGGGGGGGGGCTCTGTTGGTCTCCTTTTGGAGCTCCTGTCCCCTCCAGGTCTTTCTATCTCCCCCTTCTTTCCTAAAATTCCATGCACTCTGCACAAAGTTTGGCTACGAATCTTACTTAGCCTCTGCTTTGATACCTTGATCAATAGAGTCTTTCAGAGGCACTCTGTGGTAGGCTTCTGTCTTGTTCTCTGTTTTCTCCTTCTTCTGATGTCTATTGCATTTGCCCTTCTGAATAAGGGTTGAGCATCTTCTCAAGGGTTTTCCTTGTTGTTTAGCTTCTTTAGGACTATAGATTTTAGTATGTTTATCCTATATTATATGTCTAATAACCACTTATGAGTGAGTGTATATCATGTGTGTCTTTCTGCTTCTGGATTACCTAACTCAAGATGATTTTTTTCTAGGTCTCACCATTTGCCTGCAAATTTCATGATTTCCTTTTTTTTAATAGCTGAGTAGTATTCCAATGTATTCCAATATACCACAATGTCTCTATCCATTCCTCTGTTGAGGGATATCTAGGTTGTTTCCAGATTCTGGCTATTATGAATAGAGGTGCTACAAACATGGTTGGCCAAATATTTTTGTTGTGTACTTGAGCATATTTTGAATACATGTTTAGGAGTGGTATAGCTGGATCTTGAGAAAGTAGTACTCCTGATTGTCTGAGAAAGCACCAGATTGATTTCCAAAGTGGTTGTACAAGTTTACATTCCCACCAGCAGTGGAGGAGGGTTTGTTCCCCTCTCTCCACATCCTCTCCAGCATGTGTTGTCACTTGAGTTTTGGATCTTAGCCTTTCTGATGGGTGTAAGGTGAAATCTCAGGGTAGTTTTGATTTGCATTTCCCTGATGACTAAGGACAGTGAACATTTCTTTAAGTATTTCTCTGTCATTCAATATTCCTCTATTGAGAATTCTCTGCTTAGCTCTTTTCCCCATTTTTTAACTGGATTGCTTAGTTTGTTGGTGCTTAACTTTATCTTATTTATTTATTTATTTATTTATTTATTTATTTATTTATTTATTTATTTATTTGGTGTTTAACCTTCTTAAGTTCTTTATATATTCTGGATATTAGCCCTCTGACAGATATAGGGTTGGTGAAGATACTTTCCCAATCTGTAGACTGTCATTTTGTTCCTTTGCTTTACAGAAGCTTTCCAGTTTTATGAGGTCCCATTTATTGATTGTTGATCTTAGAGCCTGTGCCATTGGTGTTCTGTTCAGGAAGTTGTCTCCTGTGCCAACGAGGTCAAGGCTTTTTCCCACTTTTTCTTCTGACAGTTTAGTGTGTCTGGCTTTATGCTGAGGTCTTTGATCCACTTAGACTAGTTTTGTGCAGGGTGATAAATATGGATCTATTTGAATTTTTCTACATGTAGACATTCAGTTAGACCAGCACCATT